GCGTGGCACTTGTTCCTAGTAGCTTCTTGTTACTACTAGTAAGGCACTTGTTACTACTAGCGATGCACTTGTTCCTAGTAGCGTTCTTGTTACTACTAGTAAGGCACCTGTTACTACTAGGCAGAGGAAAGACATCCCTCCGTCGTCCGGTTCCCCTTTCTCTCTCTGGTCCCATCGCCCATCGCTCCCATGGTCCCGTCGTGGTCTTTTGGACGGGCGCTCTTCTTACGATAGCCTGATAGTAGCATCCTTGCTCCTAGTAGCGATGCCAGGAGCCCCTATAGTAGCGTCCTTGCTCCTAAATGGATACCAAAATTATCGACTGATAAAGAAGAGGTAAAATTAAGAATAAAAAAGAAATGCCAATGATGATTATATATTGACATGTCTTTGGCACTTTTCGTTCGTGAGCTTTCCACTGCCGTGACTTCGGACCACATTGTGGAAGGCGGCTCTCTCGCACCGGTGGCCGTGTGGCCTTGACTGGAGATGCAGAGTCGCCGCAGATCCTCAGGCACATTCGGATTAAAAGGACACCTTCAATACCATGTATTTCTTATGAAAAACATGACCCGAAGTAACAGGTTTTTGTTGTATCAAGTGGTGCACTTGTTGGGCGTTGTTTTCCATGTGCAACGCACAAGTGTGTTGAGAGTTTGAGCTTTCGGGGGGAACATGACCAAGCCCGGCTAGATTCTTCGGGGACAATCTTGGGCACGGATGTGTGTGTGATATGATATATTGGTGTGAGCGAAGGCCTTCTAACAGGGAGAGGGGAGATGAGCAGAATTGTTCAAGAAAAGAAGAAAAACAAAATAGTAGCTTTAAGGCCAGGAGCGCCTGGTAGAGTCCTTGCTCCGTTTCTAGCGATGCCCATTTGTTCCTAGTAGCGAGGCTGATACTGGCAGTGGCACAATTGTTCAACATCCCTCACTTGGGCTCGTGCCCTATTTTGTTTAAAGCACTCACGTAGTATGTTGATTGCTTGGCAGTGAGTTCCTCGAGCTGGAAACCACGCGGCTACATCAAGGTTTCCATTGGGTGTTGGGTGCAGAATGAGGCCAAACTACAATGCCTGGATTCTTGAATGTGTGGGCTGACATGCCCATGATGACTTCCATTGCAATTTTGTTTTATCGAAAGAATGTGTTTGACCATCAAGTTTCATTGGTCACACGACGCGTCTCTCAGCGTGGGGAGGCAATGGCGCCATGCTCGCAGACGCTTGGACATTCGACATGAGTTCCAGCAGTTGAAGCAGGGTGCTGATAAAACCTTTTTTTCTACTAGGGGCTCCTGGCATCGCTACTAGGAACAAGGACCCTACTAGGGGCTCCTGGCATCGCTACTAGGAACAAGGACCCTACTAGGGGCTCCTGGCATCGCTACTAGGAGCAAGGACGCTACTAGGGGCTCCTGGCATCGCTACTAGGAACAAGGACGCTACTAGGGGCTCCTGGCCTTACTACTAGAAGCAAGGTTGCACCCTTTGTTCCTATTGTTTCTCAATGACAGGGCCCATTGCTTGAAAAGCCATCAACAGTTCCTTAATCGCAACGAGTTTACTAGCAGTTCTTTGTTTAAACCCAAGACATCAAGCAGCATGTAGCTTCCGTCATTGCCGTGGCTCATCCTTTTTGCGTCAAAGCTTAAGAATCACCAAGATAGCAATTAACTATTTGTTTCTGCGAGGGAAGTTATAGGTTGGAGGCCATCGCTTCGATTCTGGGTAGGGGGCCAGTTGTTTCCGGAGCAGTTCCAACTTTGAGACTTTGCCACCTGCAAAAGTGCCAATGTCCTCGCTGACAAGTTCTTCCAGTCATTCCTTTTGGCCAATCTCAATAGCACCATTGTCCCAGAAAAAGGATCCATATCTCCTACCGCAACAGGATGCTTGAGCAAGGTGAAACAGATCGCCGAAAATTCTTTGCGTATCCTAGACCCATTGCACAGCAAGCATACTAGAGAGTGCCTTACCCTTTGACAAAATGCCTCCCAAAGAGCCTGAAATATTTTGTTGAAAGAAATTATATAATACTATTAAACACTAACCTTTTGAAATAGGAGCAAGGCCGCTACTAGGGGCTCCTGGCCCTACTACTAGAAGCAAGGACGCTACTAGGGGCTCCTGGCCATACTACTAGGAACAAGAAGCTACTATTTGCAGGATCTTGCAATGCTGAAGCACATGCGCTACCACCCTTCACGCTCCGTGCTTGAGGAGCTCGGCTGATGAATTCCTTGGATTGGACACGCTGGAGCCTCAGTTGGTTTCGCCCCAAAGGAGGAGAATGAAACCGCTGCACATCTCAGATTCAGGAAGCTAGTCTCTTCATGTTCAAGCTAGTCTCTACATGATATCTGATAGAGACCAAATATGATACCGAAGAGAACTCTTGATTCAGATATATTAAGATCATTCATGAGATGATTGAGGGAGTGGTTGAGGGTATTTTGTCACATGGGCATGTCGTACCACATAAGTGCCTTCTTAGAACTGCTGAATCATCTTATGGATATCGAAAGCGAAAGAGTGGCACTCTTACAGTGCCTGTTTTCCACTACGAATGGGCTTTGCAAGTCACCGAACATCACGCGCTGTTGGAGCTGTCGAGGCTATCATCTTTGGATCTACTTTGTTGACAGCTGCGAGCCCTCTTATGCGCGAGCCCGACTCTGCCGTTTCTTCTTTGAGCGCCTTGACTTCTATGTAGTCATGGCATCGCTACTAGGGGCTCCTGGCCTTACTACTAGGAGCAAGGATGCTACTAGTAACAAATTCAAACATCTCTTTCTTTTCATGGCGTCTTTTGGATCTTTCCGCCTTTTCTGTGTCTTTGACGTCTTCCTATTTGCACCGAAATGCACCCAAAAGAGGTTTCACAGGGTGTGGTCAGTGGGTTTCAAGAGTTACTTTGACCAGCAAAGCCATCCACGCCAATGCATTTTTGGTGCGGCATGCTCAACGATACTGGTCCCATTGTTTTCCTTGACATGCAAATAGATTGCCGTGGCCTTGTGTCAAAGAGCCACTTAGGGAGGTTTATCTGGACTGTAGACAGTGTCGTGGAGGAAAGTTGTCATTGTGGAACAGAATGCCAGTGATCTCCACATGGAAGGCTAATATCCAAAGAGACAACCTTCCTTTGCTCCTAGTAGTGAGGCCAGGAGCCCCTAGTAGCATCCTAGCTCCTCTGCCAAGGAAAGTCTGCCAGGGCCGTGACACCGCCACGTTGCTCTACTGCGCCGCCGGCGGAATGGAAAACACCCAGCGGGACCGACTTCACATTTCTCCACGTTCAGTCGAAATGTTTTGTCTTTGCTAGGAACAAGGAAGCTACTAGGGGCTCCCGGGATCGCTACTAGGAGCAATTTTCGCTACTGTTCGCTACTATTGATGTTGAAAAATACATTGAGTCTTACATGTCATCCAGGAGCACATGGGCCTCGAAGTTGCGTCAGCTGTGCCAGATTTGCACCCGGCACCTCGGTAGACATAGCGCAACCTTGCATAGCGTTGCGCATTGGCGCATTGCAAATCGCAAGCATTGCATTTCTGAACTTGATAAAATCCAAGAAAAATTGAACTTAGAGGTTGTTGGGTGCAAGACAAGTAGCACAGGGTTGTTGAAACAACTGTCCGGGCACAGAGATGCCCAGTCAACCAACATGCTTTGTTGTCAACGTGTTCTACCAGAATGGAGGGAATTTAAACTTGTTTTGTCAACTCGGCACAGTCCCAAGGCGGAGGCCATTGCTTCTAGTTTTACCCTTGTTTTAGGGTGGGGGCCATCGCATGCCATCGCCAGTAGGTTGGAGGCCATCGCTACTAGGTTGGAGGCCAGTGCTTCTAGTTGCCATTAGGTTTTTCAGGACATCACACGTGCTTCATCTTGCAACACATTCAGGGGAACCACATGCGTGTCCTCGTGTGGCTTGATGCAGCACGAAGCTCAGGGTGACTTGCAAAACTTGAGTTGTCCTCCCTTCACTTTCGTGCCGAACGACTTCAGCATGTACGACGTCACTGTGGCAGTGGATGAGGTGCAGTGCAAATGTTTTGGCAAACAAGGTGAGAAATCCAGAGGCTCTCATGACTTTCTGAATAAATCGATTTCCCTCATATTTTTGGTCTCCTATTGGCAAGCTTCCCAAGGAAATTGTGTCAACTGGATTCCCTGATTCCCAGTAGCTTGGAGGCCATCGCTACTAGGTTGGAGGCCATCACTATGAAGTTGGGGCCTTCGATAGTAGGTTGGAGGCCATCGCATTTAGGTTGGAGGTCATTGCTGTTAGGTCTGAGGCTGTTGCTACTAGGTTGGAGGCCATTGGATTCGACGTGGCAGGCCACTGCTCAGCGGATCCGACAGCAGCTCCCCATCGACCGGGACGAGCTCTGTGTGCCCTGGCCATTTAGGCCTGAGATGGCACTGACGTCACGCTAGGGTGGTGTGCTTGGCGTGGAAACCTTCCTCAAAGTTCTCCTGACTAATCCTAGTTGCATTCAAAAAAGGATTCACCTGATCAATTGAATCGCCGCATTCTTTAAAGTTCGTTGTATCACTTGCCTTGTCGATTCTTAGGTGCTTAGTGACTTTGTGGATGCCTATGACGTCCTCCTCGAAGCAGAAGAGGAGCGAAGTCCCCAGACAGACTCAATCAAGACTTGAGCAGTAGGTGAATCTTACTTGAGCTAGGTTTGATTGGAGGCCATCGCCCATTAGGTTCGAAGCCATTGCTATTAGGTTGCAGGCCATCGCTAGTAGCTTGGTTGCAATTCCCCATTGGTGAAGTCACCAAGTATGTCTCAGTGTGTCAGGCTCAATCACTGGGCCGGGGCGGAGTTTCCACATTGACGGCCCCGGCAAAGCATGATTATTTCTCGGTTGCTGCGGTTGCTATTTCCTTGACATTCAATGGAGCTCTGAGAGGAAGAAGTCATTTTGGGGCATGAGCAAGTCACACTAGCAATGTTGGCAACGTTGGGCATTCGGACAGAGATGGCTGGAAGCGTCTTAAAGCCTGTTTGGCTCACTGCCTACTGAAGAGGCTGAATGAAAAGGGTTGAGATGTTCATGAAGTCCCTTTCGGCCTGCCAATTTTTCATTTGACGTTTTTGATGATGTGTTATGTTTTATATTTTGACCTTTTAGATGTTTTTCCTTTTGTAAAGACATGAATTCTTTAGACGGTTGTTTTCCTTTAGACCGATGTTTTCCAATTTTTGGTCAGGTGTATTTTTCTCAAGGTATGCGTTTGAAGATGTTTGAAGACAGTTTTCTTTTTCCTGCAGGCATATTTTTCCTCTTTGTTGACCACGTGTTCTTTTCCTTTAGACAATGTTGTTCATTTGTTCTCTACTTTTGGATTTGTTTACGGACACCTTTTTCTTTAGACTTATTTGGACCTTTGATTTTTCTTTGTACATTTTTATCCTGTATTATAACGTTATTTTCCTTTTAAAGGCAGTTTTCCTTCAGGCCTTGTATTCCCATTCTTAAAAAAATGTGCTTCTTTCTTTAAACATGTTTTTCTTGGATTTTGTTTACTTTTTCTTTGGATGTTTCTTTTTCTGTAGTTCATGAAACCTTTCAACCTGCAGCTTTCCAAAGAGGCTCATGCTTCAATATGCTTCAATGAAGTAAGAACATCTACAAGCTTTTGCTGGCCTTTTGTTGTGCAACCAATTTTGTCAGAGTCATTTTAAATGCAACTCATTCAATTGCTCTTTTGTTTTCTTCCATGTGCACACTGGAGGTCTCTACCTAACTGATGTCCTTCAGTGTATCGCGAGCACTACAAACGAAACATGTAACCTGTGTGCAAGACATCCTTCCCCAGTAGTAAGGATCAGTGAAGCCATAGACAAAAATTCTTGCCAAGTCGTTGGAATTATGTGCGTTCCTTGACAAAACCAGCTTCGGCAGAAGTTGAGCTCATGGCCTTCAGCTTTCATCTCATCCAGCAACATGGGCTTCGGCACATTTGTCCTTTGTCCCTAGCTGCTGCAATCAGGTTTGATGCCCCCGTTCGGCCCAAGTTGCATCGGCAAAAGTGCAAATTATGCAGTCTCCTTCAGCATCACAATGCATTTGTTTAAAAAGAAAAATGTATTTGATGTTTGCTTCCCACTCTCCAAATATCAGGAGTCACGAATCATAATGATGTAGGTCCTGCATTGACAAGGAGAGTAGCCGCAAGTATTCTCTAACCTGATGCATGCTGTTCTGTGTACGTGGGCTGAGACAGTTGACCTTCCTGTGAAGGGGAGTCTCATCCCAGAGATTCCCAACCAATTTGTCAAACCAAAGCCATGCTATGAAACTCTCTTCACCATACTTGTAGAGAAGCAAAGTGATGGCCGATATACACAAGAGCTTCCACACACTGATTCATGCAGGGAGTCGGGGCTCTTTTATCACCTCGTTTTTTGTTTCTCCAGGAGATGGTGGCTCCAAAGTCATTGACTCCAGGGTTGCTCACCGCAGCACCTGGGCAGCCCTGGGGGTTCAGCTTGGGTGAGCAGAAGACTTGGGACTTTGCTACATCCACCAGTCGAACGGAGGTGGGAAAAATCATGCACGAATGAATGTGATAGCAATGGCCTCCAACCTAACAAATGAGTGTGATGGCACTGCCTGAAACAGTGTCATTTTTGCCTGCGGCTTGCTTCTGTATGGTGGTGTCACACATGCCTCTATGCTTGGCTATGCCGTCGGCCGCTTTTTGCCGCTTCAGCCACGACATGCCAGCGGTCTCACTTTTGGGCCTTGATTATTTTTGTTGTCCGCTGTTAGTTAATTATGTAGGCGGCTACTTTATGAAGTAAGGGAGTAAACACGTTGTTAGCAACACTTGAGCTTCTAGTAACTGGACGCAGGATAACTCACGCTTCTATTTGTCCTATTCATTTGGTTCCTAGATGTTTATGGAAACTCCCATGTAGAAGAAGACCATCTTGCTCCGTGAAAGCGTGAACAAACAATGTGTAATCATTTATTGTTTCTAATAGCTTCTTGTTACTACTAGTAAGGCACTTGTTACTAGTAGCGATGCACTTGTTCCTAGTAGCTGATTGTTTCTAATAGCTTTATTGGAGTTAAGACAATCAGGAGTTGTTTGTTTCACATTGAGATCTTCCTTTTTTCTGTGTGCCTGGTACCTCAGTGAGGTTCGGCACCTCGCTAGCCGAATTGGAAATAGTCAGACCTAGGCGCAATGAATTCCTGGTCCAAAAAAGAAACCTTACCCATTTTGCCAAGTTGAGGGACGCTACTAGGGGCTCGGGGCTCCTGGCCCTACTACTAGGAGCAATGACGCTACTAGGAACAAAGGGCATCGCTACTAGGAACAAGGACGCTACCAGGAGCCGTGGTTGGACCAAGGATGGCTTAGCACGGCTGAAGCCTGGGGAGCCGCTCCGTGGAACACCGGTGCCAGTCCCTGTAGGGAGCCCTTTGTGTGGTCTCCCCGAAGCTTGGGAGGCACGGCCGGGTGTGCAACTCCAACCTACTAGCACTGGCCTCTAACCTACTAGCAATGGCCTCCAGGCA